CTCCTGGGTTCAGGCAATTCTCCTGCCTCAGCCTCCTGAGTAGCTGGGATTACAGGCACGTGCCACCATGCCCAGCTAATTTTTTGTATTTTTAGTAGAGACGGGGTTTCACCATGTTGACCAGGATGGTCTCGATCTCTTGACCTCGTGATCCACCCGCCTCAGCCTCCCAAAGTGCTGGGATTACAGGCTTGAGCCACCGCGCCCGGCCCGAAGTTAATCTATTAATACAGATGTAACGATTTTAATACAAATGAGGTTGGCCGTGACTTAGAACAGCATGGAAGATCAGTAACAACCTGTTGTGGCTGGGCGCGGTGGCTCACGCCTGTAATCTCCACTTTGGAAGGCCGAGGTGGAGGAATTACTGGAGGTCAGGAATTCAAAACCAGCCTAGCCAACATGGTGAAACCCTGAGGCAGGAGAACTGCTTGAACCCCGGAGGCGGAGGTTGCAATGAGCCAAGATCCCGCCACTGCACTCCAGCCTGGCGACAGAGCGAGACTCCCGTCTCAAAAAAGAAAAATCCATCAATAGGAAATTGGTTTAAATTTTTTATATTTTCTTCCAATTTTTTAAATTTTCTACCAAATATAGAAAATTTTTTATATTTTCTACTAAAATATAAAAAATTAGCTGGGTGTGGTGTGCACCTGTAATCCCAGCTACTCCAGAGGCAGAGGCAGGAGAATCACTTCAACCCAGGAGGCGGAGGTTGCACTGAGCAGAGATGGTGCCACTGCATTCCAGCTTGGGCGACAGAGAGAGACTACGTATCAAAAAATAAAACAAAACAAAAAAACACAATTGCACTGCAAGGTGGTTTACGCCTATAATCCCAGCATTTTGGGAAATGGGAGGATGCAGAGCCATAGCCCTGCAGGGTCGTGGGGTGTCCCTTATTGCTGTACTGAGGCGCTGGATCAGAGAGGTAAAGGGACAGGACACAGAAGGACTGGAAAAGACTGCTGGGCTTAGGGGGGCCACGCCACTTACAAGCAGAGACAGGTGAGGCTCCGAACGTCCAGAAGCGTCTGTATTAAGTACAAGACGGGAAAGTGTCACGAGTTAGTCATCTATGGGCATAATGATAGGGCATACATAATCACTTGAGTAGCAAGAGGGTGCTACCCCATTAGGTTACCTAGTCAGAGAGGTGGGCTGTGCACAGTAGGGGGCCAGGTCGTGTGCAGTAGTAGAGGGTCGTGTGCAAAAAAGGGAGTCCACCCCTATTAGGTCATCAAGGCAAGGAGGTGAGCTGTGTGCAGCAAGTGCCCTGCGCAACACTTATCTGGGGGCTGGAGACTTCAAAGGATTCCTATGGAAGGATGCTATAAACCAATGCAGTGAGAGTTGACAGAGTGTGCTCTTCTCTAAGATATTTTACTGGAGGATGATTTGAGCCAGCACAGAAGTGAGAAAAGCTGACAGAGTATACAGCCGCCATGGTGCGATTACACCAGAGGGGTTCTTTTCCCCCGGTTGTTTGCAGGATCTCAGGCCTGAAGCCTACTTTCCACAAGAGCTGGATGCAAGGTACTACAACTCCTTTTTAGTAGGAATAGCTCTTGCTCCAAGCCCACCATGCAGGTGGTACTGAGTGCTGCCGTCTAGGTCCTGACCTGCTGTATAGCGTGTGCCCTTTCAGGCAAGTGCACTACAGCCTGGGTCATTGTTTCTTGTCCTGGTCTGGCTGTTTTTCCCATGTACTTGGTTCTGCTCGGTGACTGCTCTAGGCATTCCTCTTATTACATGGTTATATAGAAGGATTATATAAATTAGCACTAAATATGCCGGAAGTCTGTACAGCTCCGACTACAATCCGTTATATGATTATATAGAAAGGTTATATGGAACTAAGTATAATTGTATATATAAGCTAGATATGAGTAAGCAGTAAGTTATGCTTCAGGCACTAATTGTACCTGGGGTCTGCACAGCTCTCCTTCCTTGGTGCCCATGTTGGGGGTTACCCACAGGAGGTGGGAGGTTGGAGGTGGGAGAACTGCTTGAGGCCAAGAGTCCATCCTAGGCAATATAGCTAGATCCTATCTCAACAACAAAAAAATCAAAATTAGTCCAGCATGGTGGTGCACGCCTGTAGTCCCAGGTACTTGGGAGGCTGAGGTGAGAGGATCACTTGAGCCCTTGAATTTAAAGTTACAGTGAGCTATAATCATATCACTGCACTCTAATTTGTGATTCGGTATCTTTATTTATTTATTTTTTTTTGAGTCAGGGTTTCACTTGCTGTGAGTGACAGAGCAAGACCTTGTCTCAAAAAAAAAAAGGTAAACTCAGAGAGGCCGGGCGCGGTGGCTCAGGCCTGTAATCCCAGCACTTTGGGAGGCCGAGGCGGGTGGATCACGAGGTCAAGAGATCGAGACCTTCCTGGTCAACACGGTGAAACCCTGTCTCTACTAAAAATACAAAACATTAGCTGGGCATGGTGGCGCGTGCCTGTAATCCCAGCTACTCAGGAGGCTGAGGCAGGAGAATTGCCTGAACCCAG